AATTTAATGAACGTATGACGAAAATTGTCTTATAACGAATGGTTCTACGACTAAAGTTTTGAACACATATTTAGAAGAAGCTTAAAACTTTCATTCCAGCGGACTAATTTTGACTGTGTCTCCTGCAACTTTTAAGTAGAAGAAAAAAGAACATTATCGCTACTTCTAAATCAATGTGATTAAATGAGATTTTTTTTGTCTTTTGTTTCGACTAAGCTAATTATTTGAAGTTAAAATGAACGATTGAATCTAAATAATAATCGGTATTTTATTTATTGAAATGATCACAAATAATTATGAAAAATTTTCCAAAAAGGATGATAAACAAATAATTAATAATTTTAAAATCTTTTAGCAAGAAGAATCATATGATCATTTTGATCAATATTTGCTATATCAGTAAAACCAAGATATAAATAAAACTTATGTAAACAAACATTTCTTTCATCTAACAAGGCATGACATCCACCATAACCTATTAACAATAATACTTTTTAAAAATAAATTATTTTATTTTTCGAAATACCTTGTTGAGAAAGATTTTCACTAAGAATTTTCATTAATTTACATCCAACATGATAAATTTCATCGGTTTTTATTGCTAAATCAATAAATATTTGAATACGAACAGAATATTGATCATAAATCCACTGTGGACATTCGATTAATTCAAAAAAATTCTAAAGATTTAAAAAGATTTTTATCAAAAAAAATTATTTATTTTAGAATTAAATTCAAATAAAAAATAAATAAATATTAACTTGATCAACATTTGGATATTTCTCATGAAGTTGTTCAATCCATTTTGTTTGAATGAATTTATCATATTTTTCACTTTCATTTATTGTTAATACAAATCCACATAAATTATCTTCATTATTATCAATAGCATAACAATTATTTACATTATTTAATGAACTTGACAAATATCTACCTATTATCCTAATAATTAAAATATATACATTTAATTTCTTTTTCTCTTTTGAATATATTTATTTATTCTATCTATTAGACAAATTAATTGTCACTTGATCATAAATAATAAATCAAATCACGATTCAAAAAAAAAGAAAACTGGTGAAAATTTGTCTACAGATCGACTCGAAACGAAAATCTCTTCAAAAATCCGTTTCATCTTGCAAATGATACTTCTCCTTACATCACTAAACCATTTTTCTGAACGCAATGATATTCGATTCTATCAGATAGTTTACTATTTCTGTCTAATGTCTATATCTTTCAGTGATATAGCACATTGCATTGTCCGTACAATCATCACGTTCGTTAATGTGAAATCGACATATGTTCAGAATAGACTGGTATTCTCAAGAGTTTAAGAATGATCCCAAAAAAATGTACGAAAATATGGCCACATATAAAGCAATGTATATAGAAACGTCGTTGAAGAATTTGGACTAGTGATCTATGATGAGATTTTTTTGAAAGTATAGTATTGTCAAGCTAGTAGATTGAAATAATAATGATATTAATGCTGTTGAAAGTTTCAAATCTGAGAAAAAAACTCTCTTCTATGGCGAATATTAGCGATGTTCGTCGTGTATGATTATCAAGTTGTTATTATTCGAAAGAGTTTATAACTGATAAAATCGATCGATACAATATGAGCATTAGCAACTGCTTTTTGCATAGCAATAAAAAAAAACTAGAAATGATATGATTCGATCTAGATGAAAGTTAGATGTAGACCTTCGATGTTCTTGCTACTACTATATGTTAGACATAGACGAATGATTGCCATTTTTTTCTCAGTATTGTCTATGTCATAATGTATTGTATCAAAAGTTCTGCATATTTTTCAGATCTGTTCAAACCAATACAACTGATCTCCTTTCAATACGTTCTTACAGTATAAATAACAAATGAAACTGTACTATATCTCTCTGTTTTTAAGTATTTTCATCGAGAGCTCGAGTTTCCATTGAAAATATCTCTGATATTGGTCATCGTTCGATTCGACAGTCACTCAAATGACCCAAGCTTCATTGCCTATATAAACCCAGTTGTTGCCTATCATTTTGATGTACCAGTTGTACTACCGATACACGAACCATATATCGTAGAATCTAATAATTTCTACTATGTCTAACTTATTATCTAAAGACAAATTTCATGTATCCTTTCAACATGATGGTGCTCCCTTTTTTTTTTGATTCAGTAGAAAGTCAAGATTGATGATAAGAATATCAATCTTATCCGAAGTCTATATGATTTTATCGATATCATCGATGAAAATACTTCAAGACATGATTTGTTCACCCATATATTGGGATTAATTTTGAGCACATGAAATCCACTTAATGCAATGAAAAATTTCTTTTGGTTCTATGACCTACAGTGTAGATCCTGTAGGCAGAGGATATCAAATTTAGTTCCTTCTACGTAGGATTATGTCTGTGTGATCTTCAGAAAGTATCGAGCATAGCACATTTTCAGATATGTGTTTGTATGATTTTTAAACTCTTGAGAATACCAGTCTATTCTGAAAATATGTCGATTTCACATTAAAGATCATGATGATTATGGACAATGCAATGCGCTATATCACTGAAAGATGTAAACATTAGAAAGAAATAATAAATTATCTGATAGAATCAAATATCAATGTGTTTAGAAAAATGGTTTAGTGATGTACGGAGAAGTATCATTTGCAAGATGAAAATGATTTTTGAAGAGATTTTCATCTGGTGTTGAACTGAAAACAAATTGTTCTCCGTCCTTTCACGTTTTTGTTAATGTCTATATATGATTATTTCTAAATGAAGAAATAATACTAACTTTTATCTTTAAGATTAATCATGAAAATATACTGAATTTTAGTTTGATATTTCTATAAATATACGAAGTTAAAGTCAAGATTTGTAAGAAATAAATTAATTTTAGAAAAAAAATCTTTCTATTTTGAATGAATACAGTCGAAATTAACTTATGTGACATTTGCTTTTGAGTTTCTAATTAAAAAAAAAAAGAACGAACTTATCAGCTAAAATTTGTGAATATTGATTAATTAGATGATCAATATCATATTGATAAGAAATAGTTGTACATAATGCATACATAGATGCCTAAAAAAAACAACATAAATTGAAATAATTTATTTTATTTTTTAAATAAAACAAACATGATCATTCGAAGTTATTGGTCGAATAAAAAATATGTTTGATAATGAATTCAATCCTGGTTTCATTAAAGATTGAAAATCACCTATTGGTAATAAATCCTATTAAAATAATTATTTATTTATTGAAGATATTTAAAAGAAAAAAACAAAACAAACAAGAAAATCTCCAGCAAGACCACCTCGTTTTGACCATGGTTCTTCATCGCCTGACATAAATACTGATGAATGTTTTTGATTATCATCTTAAATAAAATAAAATAAAATAAAATCTTAAATATAATAAATCTATAACCAATCCAATAAAGATATTTTGAACAAAGAATAAATGTTGAATTAATATCATTAATATAATTATAAATATCATAAAGTAAAGCACGATTATTTATAGATACTAATTTTTGAAGTAAACGAGATACATCTTTTACATTTTCATGAAATATTGATGCACGACGACGCCAATCATTTAACTTAAATAATTATTTTTCAAAAAAAAGAAACAAAAATATAAAATGAAAAGAAATAATAAAAATTAATTTCTTACATTTTGATTTCGAT